CATCAGAGCAGAAAGGAAAGGATAAGGAATATTGAGAGCCAGAGACACATCTAATATATATTTCTTCTGTATCCCTCAGATCCATTAAAAGACAGCTAAAACTTTCTTTTTCCCTCCTTCTGACTTGAAGGAGTACAAAGTACTACTGAAGAAGAGGATGGCAGGAGAGAAAGGAAAAAATGGAGCTGATTCTCTCTGGGGTCCCAGGCCTCACCAGAGGACCCACTGTGTGAACCCAAAACTTCCACCCTAAGGAAGAGGCTGCTGCCCCGCTAGACGCATCTGCACCAAGGCCCAGGATAGAACAGGAAGGGTGCTCACAGTCTGGGTGAGCTTTCTCTCCACCACCCACGCCTTCACACTGCAAATAAAGCAAACAGAAAAACGTTCAGTCCTCAGAACCCAGCTAGGGGTCAGGACGAGAAGTGAGTCAAGGAAAATCCACTCATATCATGGCAGAGCAAAAGGAAGCCCAGGGGCCAGGGATTTAGCTCAGTGGTTCTGGTACCTGCTTTGCAGGCGCAAGGACCAGAGTTCGATCCCCAGTACCAAACAAACAATAGGAAGCCTAGGCACCCCTGGCATGCGACACATGGGAAAGATGAAAAGCAGCATTGCTGCAACTGCATCCTGGGAGGAAGAATAAAGAGAGAGAGAAAGAGAGAGAGAGAGAGAGAGAGAGAGAGAGAGAGGGAGAGAGAGAGAGAGAGAGAGAGAGAGAGAGAGAGAGAGAGATTTAAGAAATAGCATTCAAAACAAATGAAAACTTAGTGTGCAAGAAAGTATAACTCAGACAAAAGACTTTTTTTTTTGCAAATGCTTAATTAACTGCAATTTTAAAAAAGAGATCAAAGAAGAAATGATAAAAACAACAAAATAAGACCAACAGGCACATTGTGTGCTCAGGAAATACACCCATAGCCCAAACAAACAAAGGTATTAAATTGGAAGTAGCAAGGTACATCAGAAAATCAAATTACTGACACAAACGGAAGAGTTTAAGTGAATGCAGATGAAAGACTGAGGCCCTGAAAACCAGGGAGAAGCTGATAACAGAAATGTGCAAAATACACAATTGTGTCTGTGAAGCACAGACCAAATCAATGGAGCCAGAGTACCCCAAATAGAGCACCAATCTCCCCGCCTCCCAGGCAAATGGCTACAGAACAACAGACACAAAGACCATGTAGATTCTAGTTAACTTACTACAATCCAAGACTCAGAAAGGGGATTCTTAAGCCAAAGTCAGTCACTGTTAGAAGAGATACATACAAGGGCCTTAACACTTCTCCGTGGTGTACAGAGTCCTAAGGAACGTATGCCCTACCCCAAGAACTGGAAGCCCAGCCAGGCCACCCTCACATGGTCAAAACATGCTCAAACACCTAGAACTCACTTCAATATAGTGCACAAGGGACTTGGTACTGAAAGGGGACAGTCCATGAATGTACTAAATTCACTCACTTACTGTAGACCTAGCACTGTGGAGAACAGTATGGAAAGGCTGCAAACACTGGCCGGGTAATAATGGGAGACAGCTAACAGTTAGAAGATGGAATATGGAGGGGGAAGACAGTATTAACTGTGCTGATTCTCTTCCTTACTGCAGTTTTTCAATTCAGTCTAGTCTAAAATTAAAATATGTTATAAAATATGTAATAATTCCAACAATTCTGCAAAGTCACCCTCTTAGTTTTAGAGGGATCTCCTAGGAACTAGTATCTCTTACAGTGAAAAGATTTTTCTAAAAGTTCACCAATATTTTTCTGCTATACCTCAGATTCTCTTCTGTAAATTTAAGAAAGTTACAGTTAGTTGGACGTGGCGGTGCATACCTATAATCCCAGCACTCTGGGAGGCTGAGGCAGGAGGACTGTGAAGAGTGAGGTCAGCATGTGCACTTAGTGACTTACCAAGACCCTGTCACAAAATTAAAAATAAAAATTACAAAAGCCTGGAGATGTAGCTCAGTGCAAGGCCCTGGGGTCAACCTCAGTGCCACAGAATAAAAAAGGAAAAATTTAATTCTTTCATTAAAAATAGAATATATCTCATATCACATTAAATTATTCACAGCTATCAGTCTATCCCTCCTTCTGCATATATGCAAAGAGAGGTGCCCAGACTGATGACCAACTAATATCAATAATGGTCACTTCTAAGACCTGAAGTCACTTACAAAGTAACTCATCCCCTGTAGTGCACTACATTACATGTAAGGGCCAGTGTCACCTCTACAAACTAAAAAGTCACGCTTAAATTATAAAAGCATAAAAAAAACGCTTTCACTGGATTTTTAAATAAAATATAAAGCATAGGGTGACTATATAAAACTTTACAAAACAGATAAGATGAAGGAGATAGAAATCACTCACAGTTATCGCCTTCAGTGTCAACCACAGTTAATGGTTTCCTCTCTTGGGTTGGAGACAACTTCAGAGAGACAACATCAATTATTTAATAAATAGCCCCTTCTATTTTATATTCTCCAAGTAATTTTATGGTTGTATTAATTGCTTACAATATTTAATTGACAAGAGTTTATTTTAGTTTATGGTGTGAGATAATTTTTTTTCTTCTGTGCTTGTTTAGTTATCCAAACACCATGTTTCGAATAATGCTTTCTTGAGGATTTGAAATATCATCTCACTAGGCTATTACCAAAAACAGACACCTCACAGAATAGAGTACTCTGCCACATCGCACTCTTGGGGGCACTGAGGGACTCAGCCTTCTGCGCTGGGGTCCTCTCTTTTTGCCCCATCCCCATCCCTCGCCTGCATCTCCCGCAGCACTTGGTTCTGTGACAGCAGATTCTACTTTTCAGGAAGGCAGGTGGCACATCTGGAATTGCTCCTCACCTCTTCCATCTGGGTCGAGTGCCTGGCACAGTCAACAGGCTCTGAAAACACCCGTCCTTGAACCCCTCCTACCTGCATGTCGCAGAGGACACATTATTAGCCAAAGCCAGGAAACGATGCCTAGGATTTTTGTGTATTTTAAACATTCATTAGAATCACATCCCATTCCACCATCCCCATTTTTGAAGACTTCTAAACTACTACCTTTACTTTTCTCAATGACACTTCCCTTCTGGTTGTCTTCCTGATATTAATTACTTGCAATCCGCATCATACTGAAGAAAGAGCTAATCACATATATCCAAGAGAATTCTGCTCTTCCAGGGCCCCTGAGGGCCACAGTGAGGATCTGGCCTTATGCTGAGCTGCTGTGCCTTTAGTGTCCCCACTTGCCAAACCCAGCATGTTCCATGATTAGACTGTGCTGAAGGTGCAAATTCCCTATGATCGATGCTGTCATGTACATCCAAAATGTACCTACCAATAAATGTTTGGCTAAAAAAAAAGGTAGCACTCCCCTCTGAAAAAGCTCAGAACCCCAAATCTGGCAATCTGTGGGAAGCTTCCCAGCCAAAGCAACATGCTAGAACCTAGTCCTGGTGGCAGAGAGTAGGATTTCACTGAATTCCGACTACCAACCACAGGTTCTCTGGATGTAATGTTGAATGAACCAGTGACACTCTGCCATTCCCGAGGAGATGCAATACAACTACAGGAAACTAAGGGGGCTGCGTTCCATACACATCACTGCAGTGCTGGATACCCAGCAGCAAAGAGACTGTGCACAAAGCAATGGACTCTGAAAGTTGGTAACAAACAGAAGTTAAGCCCACTCCTCCTGGATGATAGCATGGCTAAAGGCAGAGCTGCAGCTCAGAAAACATCAGTTCAGAGCCAGGATCTAGAAGAGAGCTGGGGGTGGGGGCGTAAGAGCTTTTCTACCTGGAGAAGACACGGGAGGCTACCATTTGCTTCTTTAGATCTTTGGAAGGTTAGGATGGTTATGAGTTCAGTCATCTCTCCAGATGCTAGAACTGCACTCACTGGATGAAAGTTACAGGCAGGCCAAATCCAGGCCCCAAAGAGTGAAGTTTTCCATCTTGGGCTGGTCTGGACAGCCTGCCTGCAGAAGGAGGTGTTACCTGGTCCACATACCTTGCCTAGAGAACCATGAGTCAGGATTCTCAATTAGGAGGCTAGAGCAGATAACCTCAAAAATCTCTTCTAAACAGACTATTTGATTTTCCTATTAAATAACTATCATAAATGGGTTACTATTTAAGTTAAAAAAAGAGCATGTGTATCAGCCAGAACTACATTCTGCCTCTTTAATAATGTGAACTCAACAATTAAAGCTTAAAAGTAAACTTGATCTTCTAAGATTTATAATCGGATAATATGATTTTGTCTCTTTGAAATAAGTTGACAAGATAAACTAGCTGGGAACTTCAGCGAACAGGTGGATTGAGACATAAAGACTTGAAAGATCCAATTCTGTGCAGTAAGGACTTCCAGACACAGGAGTAAAAACTACATTAGTTCATGTGAGAATGAAACTCCATCGAGCCTTATGAGTAGCTACAAAAATGAGTCGTGGAAAACTTCTTGGTACAGTTTTTGATTCAAACTCCTAGGAGCTGTACCTGAGAAAAAAACAGACTCTGATTCAATCCTTTCTAGTCACAGCTAAAGTAAAAGGCCCTCCGCTGAGACCAGGACCCTCCCTTAGAACAGGTCACTGCAGACAGGAGCTGGGTCACCAGCCAGCTCCTTGCTGCTCTGGAGAGTGAGAATGTCACCCACTTGTCCTGAACAGTCCCGGTTCCTACACACAAGCCCAAACTCAAGTCCAAACCGAATCTCACAGGCACTGGGTCAGCTCTGCACATCTTGAAGAAAACCCAGGCTTTCTCGTGTTCGCTCCGAAGGTAAATATGCTTAGCAGGGAGTTTGCGATTGCTGTAGGGAAAGCGCAAATACAAATGATCAACTTCACTGGAAGAAAACATGGTTTGAGCAGGCAAGAGAAAGGGGCCTTTGTAGTTGGCAGGGGAATGGTGGGAGATGGTGGAAAATGATATCAGTGTTCCAACACGCCCCGCGCTGAGGAAGATAAATACGATGTGCAAACAAACAAACCTGAAATTCTGCATGAACTGCCGGAACTTGTCCGCCCTTTTGGCTAAGGGCACGATAACGTTAATAAGTGTGTTGGCCATGTTGAGCTTTTCCTTTTTCACTTTCATGATTGGGCCAAATGGTCGAAACAAGACAAGTCGTTTGAATTCGTGTTTGTGGTCCCCTTTGAAGGTGAGCTCATACAAAGTGCCTTTATCTTTTTCTGTTCGATAGATCCCTGTTAACAGAAAAACAAGGAAAGCTAGTTTAAAAAAAAAAAAAAACCTTGCCTATTGAGTGTCTTTATAACCAAGATCTAGCACAAAATGCCTTTAAAAATTAATATTAATTGTCTGGCTCCAACAATGACTAGAAACTCAAAATGTTTCCAATTAAAAGTACCACAAGAAACAAAAATATTACCAGTTTAAAAATTACAGTTTTATGATTTCATAAAAATGTGGGAAAAAACTTCTGCTAGATACAAAACTGTATTTATATTATTCAGTTATTCAAGGAAATATGCGAAATAAGATTGATTGTGTTGCAGAGAGGGATGTGCCTTTTCTTCTATTATCCACATTTTCTGCAATACGATTAGAAGAGTATGAGCACTATTGTTTATTTTATTTTAAATGTGTGTGCTAAAATGATGGATTAGAAATTACAGCTATTCAGATGAACCAACCATGGTGATCTCTTCAGGGCATCTTAGAGGAGCTCAGGGCCAGACACACAGGTCATGTGGCCCTCTGGAAGCTTCTTGGACTAATTAAACAAGCAACATATAAAGCATCCTGCGAGCTGGACAGGCACACGCCATGCACCACACTTAGTTTCTCATCTTCCTTTCTACCTCTAAGCAGTGTGGCTCCATACGTCAGAGTACGGACACCCAAGCCAGACTGCCTGAGTTCAAATCCCCTGGCCCCACAGATCCACTGTGGAAAATGAATGTTTCTGTGCCTCATTTTCCCCATAGGCTCCAGTGTGAAGTAAAGGTTTCACTACATGCCAAGGCGTTAAAAGCAGTGTGTGGCACACAGTAAACAACACGCGTCCACCATCATCTCTGCCCTGCCTTCTTCTGTCAGCCTTGATGTAAGAGGGCGTACTGAGAAGACAGGTGAGCAGGAGGGAAGTCTATTTACATTCCTTTCAGACTATGATGTTCCACTCATGCTACTCATTGAAATTCCACCAAGTGTCACTTGGCAGGCTGAGGACAGCATCGCTGCATCTCAGTGCAGGATAAGCCTCCCCGGGGCCAGTGTGACAGAATTTCTCTGTGTAGAGAGCAAGCAATTTCCCTGATGGCTAGGATCCATTTCCTGCCTAATATCGCTGGTATGTTAGGTACTTTTTACAAAGCCAGAAAAAAGAAAAACATAAAATTCAACATCACCGGAGAAGCTTTTGGCTTTGATTTATATCATATTTTCTAGTCTGTCTCCTCCTTCCTCTTAATCTTCATGTTAGTTAGAGGAACCACCTCCCAAACTTTGAGTAGCCACCAAAATAAACCTCCAGGGGCAAAAATGTCTGCCTCTGGTGAGTTACATGACAAACCACTTCTCTTTTCTTCCTTACTCTCCCTGTCCTTTTCCTTTGTGGGAACTGCATGTCTTCTTCACAAACACTGCCAAGTTCTCTTCTCTGTTCTTTGTCACGTAGGAACTTTTCATCCTCCATCCCTGGGCTTACAGCACCTTTGATCCTGTTCAAAGTCTGGGTCTTCCTGAGGTGCACAGGGAAGAGTCTGGTACTGTGAGTGTTCAAGGTAGCCTCATTTCACACGGCAGTCCTACAGGTCCGCCTCAATCATTCAAAGGCACGATCCCCAGGCAATGAGCATAGGTGATTTAAGGACAAGGGCACGGAAGGACAAGGGCTAAGCTCACTTCTGAAGCTTGTGCTGTGTCTTTGCGTAACGCAGCACAGCGAGCAACTGCTCTCAGCATCAGGGCAGCCGGAGAGTTCTGGTGAACTCATACTGTTAAAGAAGTCAGTCTTGGTGGGGGGAGCAATCACAGAAGACAGAGAAGGTTTATTTCCTTGGAAGCTCAAAGGATTTCTTTGAAAACCTTAAGTGGTTCCCTTCAAAGTCTGTTAATTCTTTCAGGCAATTAGTCCCCCTCAGGGAAACAGGCTCTTTCCCCACCTCTAATGTCTGGAGCAGCTGGTTAACCACCAATCCCCAGGGTCCAAGTGAGGTGGGGCTGAGTTAGAAAGGAGCCCCAGGTGGTCACAGAGGATGCATCTGCATGACTGGAGCAGGTCAGTGGCTGTGCCTTGTCACACTTTTGTCACTGGATGTCAACAGCATTGCTTCCTCTCACAGCAATGAACCTGGAAAAGGCTGTCGGCAGTTCAGCATTCAGGCAAACATGTACATGTGGGAAGATTGTTTTTCCCACTGAGTCATTTTCTTTCTCAGCACCCGGATAAGCATCATTGACTTTTTAAAAACCTAAATCCACAGTCGAAAAGACAGAGAGCAATATATTCAATCCTGCCTCCAGAGATGGATTGCTGTCCATGAAGAATACAGAGAATGCAACGACCCTTGTTAATAACGACTCCTATGACTACATGACACTATGCACCTTGGTGGCCTCCTCCAGCCTCTACCCGGGTGGCAGAGATCACAGGCTGTGCTGCCGCGGTGTATGGGGGTCTTAGTGCTTCTCCCCTCCCACCAGGAAGCTCATACCAAGATTTAAGGAGCTTTCTCATTCTATTCCACACACTGGCCTTGAAACAGTTGTTACATAATCATTAGCATGTTCCCTCATACCCTGCCTAATTATTTTAATGGTGCCTTCTGCATCTGATCGCAAGTCCTTTCATTTAATCTATTTTAAACAGGAGTTATCGGAAACACTCTTGCAACCTAGGTGCACCGACACCCACACCTGGTCATGATGCTCTCATATGGTCCACCTGGCACACTGCACAGGGTGAGTGCTCACAGTTCATCTTCGGTTGACACAGGGGACACTACAAGAGTCCTTTTGCCTCCTGGAATCTTCAGTGGTGGAAACAAAATGAATAGAAGTGGGGGCAGAGTATTCTGAGAAAGGAAGAGATTTTTAGCTTAGAAGTTGTCCGCTATACTTGGCAAATGCCAAACAAATCAGTCTCACAAATATTTTCTTTGTACAGATCAAGGGTCCCGAATGAGAAAATGTGAAGTCACAAAATTTTAAACACAGACCTATGATGCTTACCAGGTTTTGGGTTTCAGATTTGGGGGAGGGGGTTGGGCTTGAACTTGACAAATTTCTGCCTCAGCCAACCAGAGTGCTAAGATTACAGGAGTGTGCCACCATGCCCAGCTTGGATTTCAGATTTTTTTGATTCATATTGTAAAAGTCTAAACAAATATTCCAAAATCTGCTTCTAGACCAAAGCATTTCAGATCAGGAAGAGACTACCTGTAGTATTTTTTGATATACTATCATTTCATGTACTATGTAAATTAAAAATCAAAATAATTTAGCAGCTACCTTGAATCTTCTTTAGACACCATGACTGGCACTTTCTGTCTTTTATTCCCTCCACAAATATTCAGTTTACTCTGGGTGTGATATTTTAGCTCCTTGCCCAAATATCTTAATTCCTGCTTTTCCTTACTCAACGGGCTGGGCTCTGGGACACCCAATAGGTTGAGGGCATCTCCAGGAGTCCAAGAAATAGCTGAGCTCCCAGCTACAAAGTCTGCTCCTCCAACAGGGAAGGTGCTGAGCAGGCTCAGGCCCTCTCCCGTGTCCTGTCTTCACCTTGGAAATCATGACATTGAAGAAGGAGGGTACTGCTCCTTTCTGTCGCATTCCTTACCCTCACTCAGTATAGATAGACTTAGATCGTCACAGTGTTGTACTGCTGAGCCCTCCCAGCGCTGAGCCCATGCAAACATCCTGCCTGCAAAACCTCTCTCAAAAGTTCCATTCATCCATATCATATGAATGGCCCTCACCAATTTCCTACAGCCTGGGGAGTAAGTACCAATATCTGGACCTAGCCTTAAAGACTCTTCATGCTACAGACTCAATCTTCTGTCTTCACTGAACCTCTTTCTGCTGCCTCACTCAAAATCTAGGCTGCAGTCAGGTGAGTGTCTACTGAATCCTTGTAAGCACTCTTCCCCTGGAGAAATTGGAGGTGGGAATACAAAATGGTCCAGCTGCTGGAGAAAATGGTGTGGCAGTTCCTCAAAAAGTCAAATATATGCTCAAAGCAACATTATTCACAACAGTTAAAAGGCAGAAATAGCACAGATCTTCATCTATAGATGAATGGATAAACAGAATCCAGTATACATATGATGGAATATTATTCAACCCTACAAAGAAATACAATTCTGACATATGATACAAGGATGAACCTCAAGGACATTTATGCTAAGTGAAATAAGCTGGTCACATGAGGCAGATATCATAGGGCTCCACTTCTTTTGAGGCACTAAGATAGATAAAATCATATAGGCAGAAAATAGAATGGATATTACCAGGGGCTGGGGAAAAGGGAAGCAGGGAATGCAGAGTCATTGAATGGGTACAGAGTTATTCTTTGGAAAGATGAAAATATTCTGGAGTGGATAGTGGTGATGGATGCACAATAATTTGAAAGTAATTAATGTTACTGAAATTGAATTGTTAAAAATGATCAGTGATCAATTGTACGTTATGCACATTTTCTCACAATGACTGCTTTCCTTTAGTGAGGTCTTATATTTTCGCACAGACGCACATACCTCCACAGACCCAATTTCTACTTTGGGCCCTTCTAAGTCTGGTCCTCCCTCTCTGAGAGGATCCTCATAATGCTCTGAATTGCACATGACCCTTCTTTTTCCAGACACCTCCATATCACACCATTTGTACCTTCCCTTTCTTAACTACCTTTCTGGCACCTGAAAACATGAAAGGTTTGTGAAAATCATCTGGTGCAGACAGATGTCAAACTGAACCTGGATACATGTGGCTCGCCTGGTCGACCAGCTGCTCAAAAACTTCCTGCCTAAAATCCCTTTCATATGCAACACTGACAACCCAGAGCACAGAAAAGAATCAAGAACATGGAAACTGCTTCTGACTGTTCAAACAAGCAACAGAAAATCTGCAGTGAAACCCACTGTGCTTGGCTCGTTTATCCACAGCTAATCCTCACGTCAACCCTCACTGCTTTTCTTTCACTTTACCATATGATTTTGATGGTTATTAAATAGCAGTTATT